TGTTAGGTCTCTTCTTCCCTTTCTTAAAATCCGTTAGCATTACTCTGTCGAAGTCTACCCTTTCTCTGGCACTAACCATCTCCTTTTCTAAAATATAATACTACTACCCGAATTCTTAAACCCAACCCGTTAAAGTATTTATATTTCCCTCTTCCAAGATGCTCCCCCCCCCCCTCCAACCAGATGGTACCAAAACACAATTATTCTCTGTCAACAGTTGCAAGAAGGGAATATCTGACCCTTCTCTCCCTTCTCTCTCTCTTCATTTAGTTCCGGAGATGAAGGAAAATATTTATTTACTATTTCTACCCCTTCTTCTATAAGACCGAAGTATTTTTTTTTATTTGTATAGGCTCCCCTCTCTACCCCGAATCTCCCCCCTCCCCTCACTTACATTTCAAATTAATATCAATAACTTTTCGTTTTTAAAGTAGTTTAATATTCTTTGTGAAAAATCATTTTTTCTTATCTTGCCTTTTTGGCATCAATTTGCTCATTCTTGCTTCCCTTGGTATTCATTTTATAAATTGCTTTCTTTAGTTTTACTTTTTTTATTTGCTACCTTTTATTTTCCTTTATTTCCATTAATCCCTTTTACTCTGCTTCCTGCTTTACTTTGCTTTCTTTCTCCCCTTTGCTTTACTATTGTCCCATTAACTTTTTTTCAGCATGTCACGCCTTGCAATGTGTTGCATCTAGTGAGTAGATTTTTCCAAGGTAAGCTAAACAAATTCCTCCCTTTATTCCTTTATTTTCCAAGGTAAGCTAAACAAATTCCTCCCTTTATTCCTTTATTTTCAACAAAAAATGTTTTATCTTAACAGCTTTAGGAAAGGTTCCGTCAGGGTTTACGGAACCAAATTGATCCGGAATAAATTGGAAAACCTTTAAAAAGTTTTGCTTTCATATTTTAGCTAACTCCCACTTTCTTCTTTTTAGCATCTGCTTTTCGTTTCCTTTCCTGCGTTTTTTTGCTGTCTTTTGCGTTTTAATATTTCTCTGTGATTCCAATATTTTCCTTTTCCTATTTCCCCATCTAGTTGTTACACGATATCACAAGTGTGTTTATTATATATATATATATCTTAAATGATTGATCATAAATATTAATCATCCACGGGTCCTTACCCAGCTCCACCAGCTCGATTTTTTTAGTTCTCCATTTTCCTTCTCCCATATTCCTTATCATTATCTTACCATTCCTTTCTCTTTATTTCATATTCCTTTTTCCTTCTCCTAGTTTCCCATTTCTTTCCCTTCATTTCATATTTATTATTGCATCTCCTAATCTTCCCTTTCCTTTCTCTTCATTCCATATATCTTATTTCTTTTCCTTAGTTTCCCATTTATTTTTCTTCATTTCATATTTATTATTGCATCTCCTTATCTTCCCATTCCTTTCCCCTCATTCCATATATCTTATTTCTTCTCCTTAGTTTCCCATTTATTTTTCTTCATTTCATATTTATTATTGCATCTCCTCATCTTTCTATTCCTTTCCCCTCATTCCATTTTCATTATTCCTTCTCCAAATTTTCCAGTCTTTATCCTTTATTCCATATTTCTTTTTCCTAAATAAAGAAAATGGAATGAGGGGAAAGCAATGGAAAGCTAAGAAGATTTACCTTTCATTTCATATTTCTTATTCCTTCTCCCTTACTTTCCTTTCCTGAACCTCTCCCTACCCCTCACTTTCCTTCTGTCCCTTTTCATCTCCTGCCCTTTCCCTCCCTCTCCATCCAATTTCCTCCCTTTCCCTCAATTCCCTTTCTCTCCCTTCCCTCTCCCTACTGAGCCTGAGCTGTATATCTGAAGAAGATTAAGTATGCCTAGAACTAAACTAAATTGCGTGTATTATGATGAGTATTCAACTAGGTTTGTTTAAGTATGTTATTGTTACGGGTGTGAACTGGACATGTGTACTAATAATATTATTTCTCTAGAACCCAGCTCCATAATTGATTGTATATACAGATGTTTAACCTGCAGGGTTGGGTCTAGGATAAAACCATCTGTTCTCTTGATCAAACTTATCCGTTCTTCAACCCGAGATATACTTTACAGGATTAGTTTCTCTCCTTAGCATTTCTCATTTACAGATTGAAAAAAAAAACTGCTCAGTTTATTTTAATTTTATTCTTCAAATACTTTTTTGTCTAGCTTTTAACAGTTTTAAATTTGAAGTTAAAAAAAAAACTGATCCCTAGCAACAAACTAGACGGAATTAACTCAAAATATACTAACATCGGTTCTAAATCTTTCATGACAAGAAAATTGAAATTCCTAAATAAATTTACTCCCATCTCCGTCAAACGCCCTTCTCATGCGATCCCGGANAGGACAAAAGGAACAACATTAACGATAACTAGTAACGATACTTAAAATGTCAGAAATTCTATAATATCTCATACATATACCCATTATTCTTCAACTTGGACTTTGCCCTTTTTACTTCTAGGTTTTTCTTTAATTTCCTCATTTTTTCTGCTAATTGAGTCAGTAAGGGGTTGGAAGAGTTAAAACTTCCAAGAGAAAGTTTCGTAGTTTACTGGGACAAAAGGAACTGAGTTTTGGATACAAATTAAAATGTTCTAATCCCTATATCTATGCAACCTGATGATTTAAACCTTTGATATTTCATATTTGATGTAACAGAATTTACAGTTTGTTTGAAATATCTAAGGTCTATGAAATTTTGTTGCAAAGAAATAAAATAGGAATTATTAAATCAGAGTTTGTGGTGTTATTAATTTTTAATTATTTTTTCATATCAATTTACGTACACATTTACACCAATGAAATTATACATCCACTTAAAAAATGATTTATTTATTGTACAAAATGTTAAGTCCTTCAACAAATAGGCTTATTTTTGAACCTTTACAACTCTATGTGAGAATCATCGTACGATTTGAAGCTATTCAGTCAGCCAGTCTAGAGGTCTATATTTACATTTTTTCTTCTATATATTCTGTTCTACATTAAGTTATCATTGCCCCCCCCCCTCTGCCATCAACCCATCTCTAGGTTGAACCCATGGTTTGAAGGGTTGTCCCCTGAAGCTATTGTTGCTGGTTGAGAGTAATAGCTCAATTGACTCCTGGAACCAGATAATTGTACCCTGTCCTCCCTCCTACTCTCCTCCTATTCAACTTCTCTTCTCCTTTTCAAAATATGTCATCAAATTTTATATTTCACAGCCGTAATATGTAATAGGTAAATGACTAGACAACTTTTACATTTTATACTTTTAGCTTGATATTGGAGGCATTATCTGCATCACCTGGAACCAAGGACGTTAAATCCTTTTATATGTGCAGGGTTCTTCAATCCTTCTCCGGGTTTAGGTTTACATACTTTACTAACCTTCTCCGGGTTAAGGTTTACAAATTTTACAAACTTTCTCTGGGTTAAGGTTTACATACATTAAAAACATTCTCAAGGTTAAGGTTACATACTTCACAAACCCTCTCCGGGTTAAGGTTTACATACTTTACTAACCTTCTCCTGGTTAAAGTTTGCAAATTTTGCAAACCTTCTCTGGGTTAAGGTTACATACTTTACAAACCCTCTCCGGGTTAAGGTTTACATACTTTACTAACCTTCTCCTGGTTAAAGTTTGCAAATTTTGCAAACCTTCTCTGGGTTAAGGTTTACAAATTTTACAAACTTTCTCTGGGTTAAGGTTTACGTACATTACAAACCTTCTCTGATTTAAGGTTTGCATACTTTACTATCTCCCGGAGTTAAGGTTTCTTAATTAAAAACACCTTTCACTTGAACTAGTGGTTTTATAACAAAACCCCCTCTCTGAGTTCGGGTTTCTACGATAGATTAACCTCATTGCGGGAATGGTTTTGTATCAAACCCGTACTCATGATTTTCTAGAGACACTAGACAATTCACTAGTACTTCATTTAATAGTTATTCTAGCTAGTCAGCTAATACAAATATATGTTCTAGATAATTTATTAGTTTAGAGATTCTAAATGGTTCTAAATAGGTGTTCTAGATAGTTTACTAGTATAGGTATTCTAGATAGTTTACTAGTATTGGTATTCTAGATAGTTTATTAGTATTTGTATTCTAGATAGTTTACTAGTATAGGTATTCTAGATAGTTTACTAGTATAGGTATACTAGATAGTTTACTAGTAAATGTATACTGGATAGTTTACTAGTATTTGTATTCTAGATAGTTTACTAGTATAGGTATTCTAGATAGTTTACTAGTATAGGTATTCTAGATAGTTTACTAGTATAAATATGCTAGATAGTTTACTAGTATTGGTATTCTAGATAGTTTACTAGTATAGGTATTCTAGATAGTCTACTAGTATAGGTATTCTAGATAGTTTACTAGTTTACTAGTATAAATATTCTAGATAGTTTACTAGTATTGGTATGCTAGATAGTTTACTAGTATTGGTATTCTAGATAGTTTACTAGTATTGGTATTCTAGATAGTTTACTAGTATATGTATACTAGATAGTTTACTAGTAAATGCATTCTAGATAGTTTAATAGTATATATTTTCTAGATAGTTTACTAGTATAGGTATTCTAGATAGTTATCTTTTGCTAAGAATTCAAGGGGGAATTAATACAAAGATTAAATTACATTTGTCCAAAACTAAAAATTAAAAGTTACGGTTTTTAACAAGTCCTAATCATTGCACAAAGGCTTCATGTATCCTGAGGTCAACGATTTTTTTTGTTAGGCTTTAATTCCTCTTGGACGAAGGCCTGTCCTGTGGTCGAAACCCATGGTGGATATAACTAAAATTGAAGGATCAAGCTCATTATCCTGAAATTTTAAAGTTGTCATAGGAATATAGAGATCAAGCTTGTAGATTATTGCTATTTCACGACCAAGGCCGAATTTAAAGAATTTAAGCCGCGGCTCAAATATGGTTGGTTCCTCTTTAAATTGTATTCAATTTTTCATGATTTAAGCCGGCGCTCAATTGAAACCGGTTTTTGGGTGATATGAGTCGAGACGCGGCTTAAATTTATTAAATTCGGAAACTGGTTTATAAACACGGGTAAATATTTATTTTAAATTGTTTTTGAGCGAATGTAGCTTTCCTTTGAATAAATGCAATTTTAACTTTTTGTAATTTTGTAAATTTACATTTTTATTTCCTTTCTCACTCTACTTCGGTTTTCCCTTTGCAAGTGTGAGATATTGAAGGGAATTGAATAAAACACAGAGTTTAAGATTCTACTCTTGTCTCTGGCTTTATCTATTCAAATATCTGAAATATACTTGTCCAATTCTTTCAATTGAAAATGTCGAAAGCGCACACCGCCAAGAATACCGCGGACTATTCTTTAAATCCAAGTTGGGAAATTCATAAAATATTGAGAATTAAAAAATGCCCTCTTTAGCAATAAGAGTTCATACAATACACGATCAAAGGAGTTAGAATAAATAATATTTTCTAGAAATATCCAGGTATAAAGTTTCAGCTCCTGGAAGCAATGAAAAGATAATAAAACGTTAATTATAAAATATAAACCCTGGTTCAACCAATAAAAAGAAAGGTTTGGTGCAGGGCCTTGGAATTAAAACTCTTTGAAATAAAGCAATAAAATATAAATAAAGTAAAATATACATAGAATAAAATGCAGATTCAGTTCCATTAAATTATAAATAAGATGGGTTCGTTGCGGAAATTTTAGGATCAGAGATTGTATTGTTTTGTTTGGTTGAGACAAGTTCAAGGGTTGTGTACTCAGTATCCTGGGATCCTATGGGATAGTAGATCCTATCATTGTATAGATGAGATCTATTGGTTGAGGTAGACTCCTGAGAGAAGATGGTTCCTGTGTATCTCTGGTTCCTATCCTGTGTATACCCGGAGAAGAATGGAGAACCGTACTCTCCGACAGAATCTAAGAATAAAGAAACTAAGGAACTGGAGATCTGATAGAATTATCCTGTACAAGACGGAGAGTGATATAATCAAATATAATTATCTCCCTATCCAATACTAATTATATCTATGTATGCTAATTATACTTCACACATATTCCACAAGTATAAACTTATATTACAATAAATTTAAAAGAAATTGAAAACACGGCCATATATTATTATTTTTTTACACTAAACCACATTTTACAATAAATTCAACAAGTTTTTTATTGTAGATTCAAAGATACTCGATTCACAACAGTACGTTAAAAAGCTTTGTCTGATCAAGCTAGCATAAATCAGATATCCATGTTTATAATTTAGAAAACTGATTATTTTCTATTATGGTTTCTCTGCAGGAAAACATATAGAAATTATCACAATTAAATCCTTTTAACCCTAGAAAAACGGCACTATTTTTCAAATTATTTAGCAGAAAAAGGTTTCAAGGGTAACACGTTTTGAATCTTTGCATGGAGGGTCACTTGAAACTAATTTTACAGTCCCTTTAAAGTCTACGATGTATTATATTTAAAATGATTACCTGTGTTGTTACCTTCGCTGGTAGGGGGAGAGTATCTGAGAGATTTATCTCCGTAGGTTCGGTAAACCTTACTCCAGGATCCTTCTGGTTCTATATCTATCTCATCCTCGTCCCTGGAGACAGTATAGTTCTTGTAGAGGATGAAGAGGATGATACTGATCAGGATGAATATAACTGAGACAAGAGCTCCGACTGCTATTCCGAGATAGTTTGAATCCAGCTCATCGTCGTGATGATCGTAAGCTAGCTTTCTCCGGGCTATGTTGTCCAACTGCTCTTTAGGTTCAACACTATCAGGTTTCCTTCTCCACCCTTCTTCTTCTCTCACTGCCTTTACGCTCTGCTCTAAAATGAATAACGACATTTGAAAAAAAATAATGTTTTTCATTTAGATTTTAAATCGTTGTCCGAAACAGAAATCTAGGATAGATTACCTTTATATTCACAACCCTTGAGACCAACTCTCATACAGACTGTTCTAGAATGAAAACTAAAGGGAAGGACTCGAACCTTTGAGGCAACAAACGGAGTTTCTATCTGGATATCCACCTGTGTATCTGTATCCGTGTTTGCAGGTAGGATATGTTCACCCTTTCTGTTCTTATATTGTATAAAGTTCTGATATCCTGGTTTCCAATACTGGATAACAACATGCTCCGCAAACTCTAGACCCAACCCTCCAGCAAACCGTCCCTGTGTTGTGATACTCGTGATGAGAAACTCCGCCTCGAGGACGAGCTCCAGGAATTCCTCGGTATCGGAGTTCTTCATGATTAAAGACTGTGGACACCAGGCTCCTCCTCCGTCCTGGTTTCTCAGGTTTGCCTGATGAGGACCCACGGAGTATTGGTAGAAGGAACTAGCTTCGAAACTAACATTTCTAATTTCTTTGGAACAGTTCAAGTTCGATAGATCTTCTGCTCCACATAGTACTGGGAGTAGGAGCAGGAGAAGTTTTTTCATTCCGACATTACGTTGTTTTTCCTCCGTTTTCCTTCCTCGTTCTCCGAGCTTTCTCCCTCTTTCTCCGTTTTCTTAATTTGTAACTTTTATACCTCCGCTTTCTTATCAAAATGTATTGTATTATCTCTTCAGCGGAAAGGTTGCAAATAGAAACTGCCAAGATATTTCAGGCAGTCAAACAGGGGCATAAAGAACTGATGAGAAGACGGTCCGTGCCAAGATTATTCCCCGCCTACTCCTCACTCTTGTCTGTAAGTGTAAAGTCGAGCTTGTACAAAATATTTCGAACTCGAAGATATAAATTGATTAAGATTTTAAGATTTTTTTTTTATGGTTTGCAAACCTGAAAATAAAATATTTCTTATACAGCACTTTAACTTATTCAGTACACAGTGTAAAGCGTTAAGTTTCAGTGTTTAGTGTTGTTCTTATTTTAGTGTTTGGTGTTACCTTATAATGTTTAGTGTTTAGTGTTTAGTGTTTAGTATTCAGTGTTCAGTGTTCATTGTTCATTGTTCATTGTTCATTGTTTATTGTTCATTGTTCATTATTCATTATTCATTATTCATTGTTCAGTGTTCAGTGTTCAGTGTTCAGTGTTCAGTGTTCAGTGTTCATTGTTCAATGTTCAGTGTTCAGTGTTCAGTGTTCATTGTTCAGTGTTCAGTGTTCAGTGTTCAGAGTTCAGTGTTCAGTGTTCAGTGTTCAGTGTTCAGTGTTCAGTNAAACTTTTGTCGGAAAAAAGCGTTATTCTTCTCTTGAAAAACGGATTTTTTTAAATATGATGTTTTTCTGTTATTTTAACTCACGGAATTATGCTACAGATACAATAAAGGAAATTCTTTTTAGTTCAATACGTTAAAAAACGAGTCAAACAGTTAAACTGTCTTTAGTTTAATTTTCTGATACTTTTCTCTGTTGTTTTGAATGCAGAAGATAAATATTTCCTCATGTTGTTTACTCCAGGTCCTAGGTAGAGCTAGTGTAGACATATTTAGTGTTTAGAACGGAGCTGAGAATATTTATTCTATAATAATATATCCAGCAGCGAGATATCTACCGCATCTTTATTAGTCCTGTAAAAGCAGTCCTTATCTCATATCAAGGATCTGCTCAGGGTACATGAGGGAACCTTCAAGCTTCACGGAGCCGTGCTCTTGGAAGAACCCGGAGAATAGATTGCGTATTGTTCGCTCTCAACCGTACGGCAAGTATATGCACTGATAAAAATAAACATAATTTTTCAAAATGAAAGTAATGGACATTGTGCAAGTTTAATCAGGATATTCCACATGTAAAGCTGCATAAAACTAAAACAAAAGAAAACATTTTTTAGTAATGTGCACAAATGCACCGTGTAAGCAAAGAAAATACTAAATGATATTGATTACAGGCTGTGTAAGCCTCAACGTAATGAAATTGGGAATTAATACATTTTATATTTTTACCCTGGTTACATTTATTTATTTATAGGTTGCACCCTAAACTAAGCTTTCCATGCGTTTTGAAGTAATTTGCAATGCACTGAACCAAATATATAACAGGTTTAGCGGAGAGGGGTAGAGTTTATATTTAAAAAGTCCAATGTTTGATTGATTTTTGAGGAAAGCGTGGTAGTTTGCGTGCTAATATTCATTTGTTGTGGAAGAGCTGAGATTTGATTTCTATTGTTATAATAACCTCAAATTATTTTTAAAATTCCGCAAAACTTTTTTTAATTAAAATTCCGCAAAATTATATTCTTCAAGATTTCACCACGGTTCGCACGAGAAGACGTCGTCCAGGTCTAATTACTAATTCTTAGTCATCCTTACTGTGATATTTATGTCTGAAATTTGTTGCGTATGTTTGTTAATATCCTATATTAATTATTTATTATAAATTTTCAGGGAAAATGGCGTCATTTGAATTTAAATTTAAAATGCAAGTAAGTGACCGAGTAAGTAGTCTGGTTCTTGAAAATGAAAAACTCGACAAGAAGCTTGCAAAAGCGCGTCGTGCCCTGGACGATACCTCGAAGGAGAAGGTGCGCTTGGAGATGGACACAGAGAAGGCCAAGGCGGAGTGCCGGCAGATAAAACAGAGATTAAAGGAGCAGGCCAAGGCGGAGTGCCGGGAGATAAAACAGAGATTTCAGGAGAAGGTAACAATAATTGTTGAGTTTTAGATTTTTCATGGTGTTCTGTAAACAATTTAATTTTGTAGAAAATAGGAGTTCTTATCTAGAGAAATTAGGGGCCAGCAAATACTTTGCGAAATCAGACTTGTGAAATTTTAATTCCTCACATTTTAAATATCATTTGATCCAAAACCATTATTTAAGTCTGTAAAAAAATACAATTTTGTAAAGTAATAAGGTCAATCATTGCAACCCTTAAAACTGACTCAAATATAGTGGCCTCAATTGGAAATGACCAAGTTTTGAGAGTTTGGATAAATAAAGTAGTTAATTTTAAATACATATTATATTCATGAAATCATCTGGTATAAAGATATCACCGTGATTAATTCATAATTAAACTTTCTGTCCGTCTCGACTGGATTTTTTACCATAAAATAATAAACTTTAATATCATGATATATTTGTTTGAGGATACAGTATCCGATATTAAAGTTGTTCTTTATCTATTTAGGAAGATGAGATCTCCAGGCTGGAGACACAGAACACTGATCTCAGAAGTAGGTTTTATTTTTTTAATGATAATTTCATTGGATTAAAAATAATCGGTGTATACGTCAACAAGCTGTTCAGGGATTTGGAGACGTAATTTCCGGTAATTCCTCATTTATAAAATGGCATGTCAGATTTTCAACTGTAAGCTTGAAACTTTTGTCGGAAAAAAGCGTTATTCTTCTCTTGAAAAACGGATTTTTTTAAATATGATGTTTTTCTGTTATTTTAACTCACGGAATTATGCTACAGATACAATAAAGGAAATTCTTTTTAGTTCAATACGTTAAAAAATGACATATTCATAAAGTTGTGATGTCAAGTGTGGCAGATTTTATGTGGCAGACATAATTTGTGGCATATTCTATGCATTTATATACTGTTTCTTTACTCATCAAAACCTGATGAGAACTGTTGTCATCAAAACCTGGAATGCGCTAATTCAAAACACTAAAATTCTGCCAAATTTGATATTAAACCGAATTTAGAACTCAACTCTGTGGGAAATTAGATGCAACTTAAATTCAAAAGCTCAAGCCGTAAATATGGCCCAACGACAGCTTAGACCTGTTACCTGAGTCGTATGTTCTTGAATTTTTTAAATCCCGTGCTCTGGCATTATTAAACATGTTTATATATAAGGATTGGAATTAGGATTGAAGTCTGATAAATACATTCCGTGTTTTAAACTGTACCTTTTATTGTTGCAGAGAAGCTTGAGGATGAAACCTTGAAGAGAATAGATCTTCAGAACAAGCTTCTCACCATGCAGGAAGAGAAGGAAAGAAAACCAGGCAGAGGAATTAAGAGGAAACAGTTGGATATTGAAGCTCTCTAATCTAAGAGTTCTAAAAAGGTAATTGATTCATTTCTGCAAGAATACTTTGTATGCGGGAGAAATAAATCTTACAAATCAATTATGCTTATTAATAATGCTACTAAGGACAAAAGGAACAACATTAACGATAACTAGTAACGATAACAATGAGTAATATGATTTTAAAGGAGATACATTAAGCTTTAGCTGGGTATATATTTTCTTGAAAAATGAGCTCCCCTCCCCCTTTTTTTGCATTAGAATTATGCTATGTTTATTTTTAAGGGTTTATCTACTGAATTGGGTTAACTTAATGATTTTTTTAGAGGAAAACAAAGAAACCTGTAAATAAATAGTATCATAAAGGATTAGAGAATAATTGCCTTGTTATATTAATTTTTTCATCATTTTCCCCAGAGCTCGAAATTATTATATACTCCCGGGATTCTGTTGAAATATTATGAAGTAGCGTTCTTTGCATCATACTCCCCCCACCCCTGAGGAAATGATTTTTAATGATATAAGGGTTGAAAAATTGAACAAGTTTTTTATTCCTTTTAAAACTTTTCAAATAATGTTTTTCTTAAGTTGTCCTATCTTTTATTAACAATCTATTCTTAACCCTGTTAAAAAATAGTCATAAATTCTTGTTTGTCACAACTTGAAGCTTAATTTTGTTTTTTTTTATTTTAGGAACACTAAGCAAATCCAAAAGAATAAAAACTAAAGAGCCAAAATATACCTGGAGATTCTAGACGAACCATCCTAACACTTTCCAGATCAATGGTCAACTTCGGACTCTTGAACAGTTCAATGACCGTCCTTCGTTTCAGCTCAAGCTCTGATCAACACCAAAGTTTCTCTTCAGAAGAACTTCATTAAAACTCCTTAGTCCTATTCTTGCTTTACTGTTCGTTAAAAAATCTCTTAACATTTCTTGATCCTCAATACAAAATATATTAAACTTGACTTTAAAAGTTAAATCATTAAAACTGTTATCTTGTAAATCATTGAATGTCTGACCATACGATAGTCTCTTGAAACTCTCATGAATCAATCAATGTACAGTGTGCATTTTTGATTTTTTTAAGTATTAAAAATTCAAATGTGATGATATCCCTGATATAATTGTAATTAAAACCATGTAAGAAATAAAATATATTTATGAAAACTTGCTATAACAGGATATTATAGAACAAAGGAAATAGTACAACTGTATTTTTTTGTGTTCTCTTTGAATTAACATTTTAACCGTTTTGGAGAGCATTTCCTTATAATATATATATAATTAACCGAAGAAGGTATAAACCTGCCAACATATTGCCCTTTTAGATGTAGACCAAAGATTATCCTGTCCCTTTGAAACCCAAAAACCCTTGTTCAAAGGGGTTGGAGGGCAGGTTGGCCGAGTGACCTTAGCCCGAAATATAAAAGAGTATAGTAGAACGAAACCGAGTTTCCTTTTTGGGGTCTTAACATTTGTGTAGATTTTGATTTGAGAGATTCGAAAATATTGGAGAATATAAAAAACTAGAAAAAAAAATATTATTTCATTGCAAAAATATTGATATTCGTAAAACTGCCTGATCCCAATCGTAAAACCCGGGTTTTAAAACTGGTTTTCATAAAGATACCCTGTCTTTAAGTTTTGGGCTCTGGGGTTACGGGAGTTACGGCCAACTCAGGTTCCCGGAAACCCTTCGCCCGGGTTTGCCTGAATCCAGGAATCATCAATAGAACAAAACCTGGGCGGATTTAACAGACACCCCCAGGCGTGTAGTCGGGTGAAGTCGACTGGTGGCCAGAACACCCCAAGCGATTCACTTTAATTAATTAATTTTATTTCGTACGATTTAGTATTAGGAGAGGGGGAGTTGATGATTTTAAAAAGAAAATTTACAGCCCAACATTTTCTTGATCCTTTTAACGACACTAATTTAANTATCTATGGTTGTAGACCTTAGATATTTCAAACTATGAATTCTGTTAGATCAAATATTCTGAATTTGAAATATCAAAGGTTTACAACATCAGATTCCAAAGGTTTACATATTTGAGTTTGTGCCAAAGACTCAATTCCTTTATAAATTGACTGTAAGAAAAAATAGAAAAATAGAAAATAGAATACCTTTATTACATCTTCCATCATGTTATAAGCATCTAATATGTCGAGGTCTCGTTTTTTCAAAAGTTTTAGTTTAAAGTATCTTAAAATTTTGTATTAACATTGAATTTAAGACAAATCCTTAGTCTTTGTCATTGTCAGGTGTTACTTTTTAAGATTGTTTCCTTTAAGTTTTGTATTTTCCAGGAGGGGGAGGGCCCCCCCTGGAACTCCCAAGGGGGGCAAGAGGACACTGCCCCCCTATGTCTAGTTTTTTTCGTTGCTTTTCTTCACTAGATTCTGATTTGACTCTGAACAGAACCCTTTTTAAACCGATGTATTCGGAAAATTGGAAATTTTGCATGCACATTGCACAATACCTTATCTGGTATTAAATTTAATTTTAATTTAAATGAATTTTTGAATTTAATAATTTCAACCATAAACTTAATGAATAATATTACGGAGAGATATGTTGCTGTGTATACTGTATAGTGTAGAGTCCTACATTGAATTAATTAAAATAAATGTCAGGTATTTATCATTCTTATTCATAACAAGCCCCCCAGTCAACAACTTTAAGTTTAGAAAAGAATAAAATATTTAGAATAAAACAGCCATTATATAATTAGCACAAGCCACTGAGTGTTAAACTATTTTTTAGATTATTTTAAACACAAATCTGTAAGAAAAATTTCATCTACCACGCACCTCTGCTTCTTTAGTAAAAGTAAATTCAACCTATATGAGCATAAAGTCTGACCGCGTCAAAACCTTGTTGCACCGGCTAGTCCTGTCCAATGTCAATAGAGCTAGGTACAGTACAAACTGCGACGGGAAAGGTTGACCCGGCTCGGAAATTTAAATGTACTGCGGCTGCCAGTGCTACATATCTAATAATAATATATGTTAGATTATAAGAATTTAGTCACCTTTACGAAGTGAAAATAAATAATAGATTAAACACCCTGTATATAAAATAGATTAAACACCCAGTATATAAAATAGATTAAACACCCTGTATATGAAATAGATTAAACACCCTGTATACAAAATAGATTAAACACCCTGTACGTAAAATAGATTAAACACCCTGTAGATAAAATAGATTAAACACCCTGTATGTAAAATAGATTAAACACCCTGTATATAAAATAAATTAAACATCCTGTATATAAAATAGATTAAACACCCTGTATATAAAATAGATTAAGTACCTTGTTAAAAAATGATAAAGCAGGTAAAATCTCAAAACTGTCGTATTTTCGGTTTGCAACCCGAACCAAAGAAGAACCGAAGAAATACATCCAGACAACTATAAGGTTATGCATCAAATTTTAAAGGGACTGTAAGCGTAATTTCTATTCAAAGAAGTCCAGTTCAATACACAACGGTACCCTTCAAACCTTCAACAGATTTAATGATAATTTTGATTTTCTGCCGCCTTAAGAAGTTATATTGAAAAATATTCTATGCTTTTATACAAAAAATAGATTTTATCCGCGAAAACGCGGATAATTCGTGAATTACTCGAATTGTTTTAATTAAATAAATTAGGCTTTCTCCCTTGATCTATCGAATGTTTAAAGGGTATTGTTGTGAATCTGAAGTGGACTTCTTTAAATGGAAGGTCACTTGAAATTACGCTTACAGTCCCTTTAAGACCGGGTCAATTTAGTGTCGCAACGCCTTGGCCTTTGGTTTAACTGCCCAACCTCTTATTATTAATATATTACAAAATACCTTATTTAAGGAAGGTAGGGTTTCCAGCGAACAAAAACTCTAGCGAAAAAATGCAAATATTTTCCGTCGTATTTCGCAAACTTTTGCATTTTTTCGCGAAAATGAATTAAGCGTAAACCATAAGTGTTGTAGCTGCAACACTTAATTGCACAAAAAAAACTTGTGGAATTTTCTGCTCTGTAAGCTCAGCATTACAAGTTTTATTATGTCAAAATCTTATGATTTCTCTTTCGTATTTTTTTCGCAAAGTTTTCGCATTTTTTCCCTCGAAATTTTTGCATTTGTATGTTTTTCGCTGGAGACCCTAGATCATAATTATACTTCTTCTGTTTACAAAGACCATTGTAGAACACGGAGTAAGTTCAAAGATCAAGGATTTTAGATTTTGAAGAAAATGGATTTAATTATACAGAAGATTCTTGATTGAAGTGTTTGATGTTCACCGTGCAATTAAAATCTCATGATAATGAGCAATTACAAGTTGAGAACAAAGGTAAAATTATCTCAAACATTGAAGAGGTTTAAATAGGAAGAGAGGGAAAGGGTAGGGTTAGGAGAGTGGATAAAGGGAGGAAGCAACATGAGGAGATTGGATAGAGGGAGGAGAGTGGATAGAGGGAGGAGAGTGGATAAAGGGAGGAAGCAACATGAGGAGATTGGATAGAGGGAGGAGAGTGGATAGAGAGAGTAGAGTGGATAGAGGGAGGAGATTGGATAGAGGGAGGAGAGTGGATAGAGAGAGTAGAGTGGATAGAGGGAGGAGAGTGGATAGAG